GGTGAGTGACCAGGGTATGCAAGTTCTTGAACAAAAATGCCCAGGACAGGCTCATGAGAAACATGGTACTCACCAGCCAGTGGCCGGAAGTCATCCCTCAGTTGGTTCCATCAGCGCCTTCACAGGCAAGTACACTCCGTCCTTTGTGATGGCTGTCATGAATACGGTTCCCCAGTTCCGAGAGATGTCTCGCAGCCATTTGCCACCGTGTTTACCATGGTCATTTCAACATGAACACGATGTTCTCATGGTAAAAGGGGATTTGGAACATGAAGATGATGAGATGGTCAAGAAGGCCTTGTTTCGGTTACACAAGAATTTGGGGCACCCCTCAAGTGCTGACCTGGTCCGCCTTTTGAAACATGCTCAGGCCTCCGACAAGGCTCTTGCATTGGCACGTCAGCTCAGTTGTGACTTCTGTCAAGCACAGGGTAAACCCCGAACTCCACTCCCAGCACAGGTAGATCATCCCAGAGAATTCAACCATGTGGTAGGAATCGATGTGAAAGGATTGAGAGGCTGGAAGAATAACCAAACCATAAAGGCCTTGAATATAGTGGATCATGCTAGCAATTACCAACTTGTGCTTCCCTTCTTCGAGCAAGAGACCTCCCAGGTCATCAAGCATCTGTTTTCAAGTCAATGGGTGCGTACTTTTGGAGCCCCGAAAGTGTTGATGATGGACCCTGCTCGAACCAATCTAGGAGATGTTTTACAGAGTTATTTGGAGAGTCTGGGCACACACTGCAAGCCCATAGCCACAGAGGCCCATTGGCAGTTGGGTCGTACTGAACGTCATGGTGGATGGTTTGGCAACGTGCTTTCCAAACTAGTGGAAGAACATTCTCCTTCGACAAAAGAAGAGTGGGAACAGTTGGTTATTCATGCTCATGTGAAGAACACGATGATTCAGAACCACGGCTTCACTCCCTACCAATTTGTTTTTGGGAAGAACCCTGATGTTCCGTGCGATCTTTTGGATGAACCACTACGAGTTGTTCCAGCTACTCTGGGACTGACAGATGCTGCTATCCAGAAGTCGCAAGAGATTCGCTCGACTGCTCGGAAAGCAGTCATCGATCTCCAGAGCGATCAGGCCTTGAGACGTGCTCTAGCAGCACGACCTCGTACAGTTCCTGACTTTCAAGCTGGAGATTTGGTGGCTTATTGGAGAGAACAAAAGTTTCAGGGAGCTACTCAATCTCAAAAGGGGCATGTGAAAGATAGGACGCAACTATGTGATTGCCCATCGGAAGCAAATTTTTCGTGTTGCCCCCGAGCAGCTGAGACCCGCAACCACAGAGGAACGTACAGTCCTTCAATCCCCACAAGCTGAGTTGTTGGGAATCAAAGACTTGTTGGAAGGGGGTACCTTTCGCAGTCATCAGTTTGTGGACCTAGTACCAGGCCACTATCCCTCCACACATCCAGTGTTGACCAAGTCTCCCATTGTTGCTGACACCGAACTTCCAGCGCCAGCTGACCATCAGCCACCGACACCAGTCCAGACCTCCAACCTGGAGGCAGCTCCTCCGACCAACGAGCCGACCGGTGACTCAGCCATCGCTCCTGAACCCATGGAGGTGGTGCCACCAGATGGCCATTCCAACAGTATTCCAGAGATTGAGTCAGGAAATCCTCCAGGCAATGCAGACAACGAACCAAGTTTTCCTCGATTTTCTCTGGGTGGCTCCAGTTCCAGCAAAGGTGAAAGTCCAGCGCCTCAAGGATATGGGCCCATCCGGCGTCGAGTACCATCCAAAGCCGGTGGAGCAGCCTTGTACAGGCCTCCCGCTATGCGAGAGGAAGATTTTACTGAGATGATGCGAGAAGTTGTTCCTCGGTTGATCGCTGACTCCTTGCAGAATACGCCAAGCAACATGGATGAATCATCGACATCCAAACGATCAGCAGATGAACTTGGTGTGTCGACAGAGGAACCTCCTTCTTCCAGGGTGAGAACTCAGGAAGGAACCGAAGAGGACATCCTTCTCGTTCAAGAGTGCGATGAAATCATGGACAGTTGGCGACCTGATCGGCCCATCGAAGTCCTCATGGCCGCTTATCTACAGAAGAAGTTCAGCAAAGAAATTCCACACACCAACCAGGATGCTGAGTTGCAAAAACTGGTAGATGAGTCCAAGTCCACGGAATGGGGGACAATTCTAGAAAAACAGGCTGTGAAAGTACACTATGGCAAAAAGGCAGCACAACTCAGGGCAAGGTACCCCAACAGGTTCATTGGTAGCCGATTTGTGATCATTCGGAAACCCATTGAAGAGAACGTAGCAGTAGATCCCAATGATCTATGCACTTTTCGCATCAAAAGTCGGTGGTGCCTTCAGGGTCATCTGGATCCAGATTTAGACGCAAAGGCTCAAGAAGGTCTGTTGAAGTCACCCACACTCAGCCAGATTTCTCGTATGCTGTTGATGCAGTTGATCTGCTCTCACGGCTGGGATCTGCAGCTGGGTGACATCAAGGGAGCTTTCATGGAAGCAGGACCGTTGGATAGTAAGTTCCGACCTCTCTTCGCTTCTCAACCGGCAGGTGGAATCCCAGGGGTTCCAAAAGATGCAGTGCTCGAAATTGTTGGTAATGTTTACGGCCAGAACGATGCACCGGCTAGCTGGTTTAAAACTTTCCACACAGAGGCTGTCAAAGCGGGATGGATCCAATCCATCTTTGATCCGTGTTTGTATTTTCTCCGGGAGGGAGACAAACTGACAGGGATTATGGGAGTTCATGTTGATGACACTGCAGTGGGGGGGTTCGGGTGAGCTTTTCGATAGTGCTATCTCCAAACTCAAAGAAAGGTTCCCCTATAGGAAGTGGAGAGTCGGAGAAGGAGAGTTCTGTGGCAGTTACTATCGCCAAGAGTCGTCTAGTAAGCACATCCACATGTCCCAGCAGCTGTTTGCAGAGAGCCTGCGTCCTGCCACAATTCCCAAGGGAGCCGTGAATGAAACCAGACTCAATGAGTCGCAGGTTCGAGTGCTCAGGGCAATCAATGGTAGCCTTAACTGGATTTCTTCTCAGTCTAGACCTGATCTAGCAGTACAGACAAGCATGTCTCAACAGTCATTCCCTCATCCCACCATCCGTGACCTGAGGAATGTGAATAATGCTGTCAGGAGAGCCCGAATGCACAAGGACCTTGAAATCCATTTTCAGGCGATCGAGCCACAGCGGTTACGAGTGTGTGCTCACTCCGATGCGGCTTGGGCAAATCTGGGAAACCACACTCAGGCAGGCTACATCATTGCTTTCACTGACCAGGACCTGAATCAGGCTAAGGTTGTGCCTTGGACACCTGTGATTTGGAAGAGTTATCGTTTGCCGCGAGCCGTGAGCTCCACTCTTTCCGCAGAAAGCCAAGCAATGTCCTGTGCTACTGGCTCGGTAGAATGGATCAGCCTTCTTCTGTGTGAGGCACTGGATGGCTCCTTTGAACCCAGAGCCGGACGAGAACTCTTGCAGAAACGACCCCCCAATCATAGCTACAGACTGTAAGTCTCTGTTCGATCATCTGACGTCCCCGTCCGCTCCGACCGCAGTTGAAGACCGTAGAACTAGTATTGATATTGTGATCATCAGAGAATCTCTCAAGCTTACTCAAGGGGTTGTTCGTTGGCTTCCGACCGATAGGATGTTGGCTGATGGGCTCACTAAAGATAAGCAAGACCCAATAGATTTACTTCGGTCGTGCGTCCGAAACTCGTCCTATCAGATTTCTCCAGAAGATTTTGCGCTGGCCCAACAAGCTGCTGAGCGGGATCGCCGTCATCAAAACAGACGTTTTTCTGATGACCAGCCAGCAAAGAAGCCGGAGTCAGATAAATAGACCATAGCACAAATTCAATAGATAAGGAGTCGACGGGAGTGCAAAGCTGTGTACTCAGGGGGAGTCTTGTGTTTTTTGCCGTTCGAACTCAAAACATAACTATGCATGCAGCTATGCGTCAGTTGTCACGAAATGTTTTCTTTGTGTTCCTGCAGATCGATGCTCAAAGGTTTTTCGCTTTTGATCCTGTCTTTCAGTTGAGTGCTTTTTTGACAATCATGTCTTGGACCCCGGAGGAGAAGCGTCAGCTTTCCAACCTTCTTCAGAAGGCCCAGAAGGAAGGTATGCCAGATGAGTTGCTACCTCTCGCATCGGCCACAGCTCAGGGTACCAGTCCTCGACATTCCGATGATGGATTTTCTTTGATCGCCGGCTTGGGCTCTATGTCAGACGCCTCCAAGCGCAGAGATTTGGATTTTCCTGAGAGCAAGAATTCCAAGCGTCTGTATAAGCAGACAGTTCCCTCAGCAGCCCCTTCTGGCTCTCCCATTCAGTATGAAGGCGACATTCCGGGATACGAGGGTGGATACTATGTAGCTCCAGGAGTGAAGCCTTCTCCTTTCCCTGCGGGTTGTCAGATTCCAAGTGTTGAGGTGCCTCAAACTCCTCTACCAGAAGGAGTGCAGAGCCTCAGCCAATGGGGACGCACCTTGATGTCTTTCGGTCAGTACAAGGATTCTGGCCTGTCGTATTTTGATGTGATTTCCAGTACAGAAGAAAAGAAAGTGAAATACGTTCGCTGGTGCAAGAGCCGAAGCTCTTCAGCCGGAGGCTTTCTGAAGGATTTTTGTGAATACATCCAGCTGTATGAAGTCAGCACCGGTGGCGTCCAAGGCCCATGCATTCCTGGGACGGATCATGTCCGCCACTTTAAATCTTAAAGATTTAAGAGCAGTGTGAAAACTCTCACACGTGAGCATCTTCCCATGTACGCAGGGACTCCTCGGCTTAGGCAAGAAAGGGCGCCCATCCGTTGCCGACACGGCGTCGGCTACCAGTGCTTTGTCATATATATATATATACTTGTGGATTAATCTCTTCACAGGAAAAACATGGAAAAACACTACTCATTCTCATCATCGTCCTCCTCCATGTTTCTCCTCCCCCCCCAAGCCGGCGCGGTGGTTGGACCTCCCCGCTCCCCTACACCCTTCTCTCCCCCCCAACCTCCTGGGGTGAGGGAAGATCCATGGGCCGCTTGGCTGGAAGACCACACCTTGGACGACTGCTGGCTGTGCTTGCTGGGAACCGGAGAAAAAACAACACCGAAGCCTCAGTTTCGGGGATTCACCCCGTTTCGGGGGTTCACCCCGTTTCGCGGGTTCATCCATCAAGAGGGAAAATCAGACATCACCCTTTTGTTCCAACCAGGACACTGGCCCACATCATTGGCACCCCACATGAGCAGCTGCCCTCCATCGCTGGCGTCCTGTGGAGACCGCACGAACGGCGGTGGAGACCGAAGGGCTTGAGTCACATGGCATGGAGGGAGTGAATGACTTAAGTTGTTTCTAATATGGTCTTCACAGGGGTCTATCTTCCACTTCTAGGGGAGGGCCCACCATGGGAACCCATGGGAAACACCCTGGTTCGCAACCAAAGGCTTTCCTTGAAGGCGGTCTCCATGGGTAATTAGGGGCCCCGCGACGTGTTAGTGGTCATGTCCAACCAAGCTCTTCTCTTACTTTGGCCACAGGTTTGTCTTCCGCTTCCATCAGTAGACCATCTGAGAAGCGCCTGATATGAATGTTCATCGATGTTTTCCCCCCATTCAACAAACACCTGGTGCAAGCGACATGATAAGACACGATGAGACCGTATTTTGAACCGCCTCAGAAAACACGTTGTGGCCTGCAGCCAGCACAAAGGCATATTAAAAGCGTAAACATAGCGGAAGAATGCAATTGCAAGGGATATGATTTGGACTGAATACAATAAGCAGTTAAACATTCTAACAAACAACATTCACACCGGCGTTAACCAGAATATTGACTCTTCTATTTACTCCTAGTCACAAAGACATGAAACCAATAATTGATCGACCTCAGGATCCAAGCGAGAAAAAAACCACATGTTTTAAGGATCTTTTCCCAAAGCATCTATGGGATTGGAATAGTTACCAACCATGGATGGGTCATAATCTATAGGCAAATGTAGGTCGGTAGGTGTAACTATTCCACACATGGAGTGTCTGGGTTTATATAGTTTCACTACGTGTCGCTACAATAGGTGAAAACCTACCCTTCCACACACCAGCCGCAAGTCTCGCTCCACATGCCCCATGCGCACAGACACACCTGCCCCAGCAGCGCAGCAGAGAAGGCGCCGCCGCACTCCACCTGCAGCGCTGCGCTCTTCAGCGGCACTGGCTGCGGTTGCGGACGCCGACTGCTAGCACCTCCAAAGCCCACCTACGCCATTCTGCGCGTGCTTCGAACGCGCGTGCCCGAAAGAAATGGTGCAAGCCTCCTGTGTAAATGTAGATAGATGTTTCTTTGTTCGCCGGGATGGCACTAAGATGCACTAACTACCCTGCGTTTTTCTCTAAACGATTCGTGGTAATCGTACACTGAGAAATTCTGCAGGACCTTAGCAATCCAAGATTGTTCGATGGTCGACAAATGTTGCCAGGCGGAGAACGAAGCCTCTCGATCCCGATGAAGCCTTGGCATGAGCCCGATCTCAACAAACATGCAAACCTGGCCCCTTAAAAGAAGTGGACAGGGATTGCATGAATGTTGGATATTGAACCATGCCCGCTTGCAGGCCAAGCAGGCCAAGTGCTGTTTGAGGTATCTGCAACCAATGAGTAAAACATAGTAAACCAGTATCAAACGCCTTTTTGAATGTAGAGTGTACTAATTAGGTAACGTACCATATGTATATAGTCATCCCCCGTGTACCAATTGGGATTCCCAGCATCAACGACCAACTCTTCATTCTTCGAATTTTCACATGGTTTGCGAGTGCGACCTCGATGAGGGAACCAAATGAACTCTTGAAAACTTCATCACCGACCCTTTGGCGATGACCGACCGGACCGGCAGTTGTTGGATGCCAGTCGGTTGATCCACAACCATCTCTGAACACCGGAACGCTTCAAATGGCATGCTCGCTGTGGGTGAAGCAGCGAGCATAAGTCTCCGCCCCAAAGTCACGTTCTTTCTTGTTGGAGGGCCAGGGGCTCCCTGGATCGTACGTTCGCCGTTCGCATGCTTCGATCGGCGCCAGGACCGAAGTCTGGTGTCCCACCCAGACTTCGCGCGCGACATGGGTGGCGCGGCGAAGGCCTGGAAGGAGCTGCTGGAAAATCCCAAGCCCAGCTGTCCAAATTCGCCCCAGCCCCATGAGTAGATCTCTCCTGGCAGCATGGCGATGTCGAACGGCTTGTGATCCGGGAAGAACACCTTTTGAAGAGCTTTCTATGGAGAGCTGAAACAGAACTCATCTAATTGTAATATAATATATAGATGAAGTTCTTGGATGTTCTCACTTATTCTCTGCAGAATTGTTTATAGAATTTGCGTTCTGAGTTGTTCTCCGTGACGACACGCATACCCAATGAACCACATCTCCGAACATTTAGATAGGGTCGGGTCGATTCTCCCGATTCTTAGCACTGTCATCGAATGAAAGGATCAAACTGGAGCTGCCAACCACCCCAACTACCCTCCATTCCCTCCAATTCCCCGATATCATCGGGTCCTTTCACGCCCAGCGCCAAGCTATGGACATCTCCACCCGCGACAGCAGAGAGAGCGGGAAGTCCCTCGACGCGTTGGGGAAGACAAACATACGTGTCCTCCAGTTGTAGCTCCTCTGCCGACCAACTCCCACGTCGATCGCACGTAGGTCGAGAGTATCTGTGCGATCGACGTGGGCTGTGGAAAGCTGACCGGCAGATCGACATGGGGGGGCTCTGTGCGGAGATGATGCGAAAGACATGGCGAAGGAGATGGGGAGATGTCTTTGACCGGATCTCTCCTTTTGATTCCTTTTGCGGATCACGAGTCAGAGACAAACATGGCGCGTTGGGGACCAAAAACGTACAGAATTGATTGACCTTGGACCAGGCAACTCACTGGCCGCAATCGGATTGCCTCAAATGCAGACTAAATGTAATTTTATATTACATATATGAGAAGTTTCACATGCAGCCCCATCAAATCTACTCTGAAACGCCGAACACCTTTTGGACAGTGTATGTACACCCAAACACTCCATGTATGACTTATTTACTACATTTGGGTGGTTGACAATTCCAGGTCAATGCATGCATATTATTATATGTGCCAGTCGAGTTGGGGATCATATCACCTTGATGGATCACCGCATCCTGAAGCGGCGAACAACTCGAGAAGCCCACTGCTTCACTCCGGATCCTCGATGTGCTTCTGAATGACTGCCTCATCCAGGCCTAGCTGCCCACCCTCCGTCCGGCCCCAGCCTTAGTGGCGCTGTCCAATCCTGGAACCCAAACACCTTCGTCGAAAGAAGGATCGTTGGAGCCCTAGGACGCTAGGGCCTATAGGGTATCATGATGTATCATGTAATTGGTTTCAATCAAACATCACCCTAGCCCTAAAGGCACATCAATCCGTTCAACACGTGCTAAACTCCACTATCCCTACCCAAACCTGGTGCTTGCATCGTTGAAGCTGCTGAGGTCGTGTGTGTCCAGCATGTGCTTTTGGAGATGTGGGTGACTGTTTGTGGTAGTTCTTCTTGCCACAGTTCTCATATCAAATACTCAATGCAAACGAGTTGCACCCATGACAAGAAATCGACTTGTTAGTACTAGTACTAATGCTTTGGTACTTTAAGTCGATGGATGAGCTCTTGTACTTGGTTCTTACAGGCCACGCATTGCTGCAGTGGCTTCTACTTAGGTCTCATGAACTTCCGGCTGTCCACCCCTCATCTAGCGCACTAGTCCGAGAGTCACTAGTTGCAGTATTTCGGCAACGCTTGAAAGTTTGCGTGCTTTGCAAGAGTCTTTCATTCTCAAAGGGCTATCAGGGGGCGTGATGCTACTGCTACTCGCGTCTTAAGAAGAAAACGTGTGTGTTCCTCCTCCACTCATTCCTTATAACTTATAACTTATAACACAATGATGAGAAGTAGTTGAGGTATGACTACCCCGCAAAAGGAACGCAAACAAGCATCTACCATGGCAGTAAATATATGTTTACAGGAACACATCAAAAAGAGGTGTGGTGACCTCACTCGGGAAAAACACAAAAACATGAGTCAGGGCGCCTGACGTTGGCTCCAAATCTATCAGAATCACTATCCTTAGGGCTCCAAGTACCTTCTGAGAAAGTGTTTGGAGTGGGTTTGGAGGATCCAAATACCTTCTGAGGATGCACTTGGAGCCCCACGGTATAAACCAGCTGACAGAGATTTCCTTGGAGCCCACATCTGACCCGCCCTGACCGCTTCAGCGACCCCGTCTGACCGCTCGCTCCTTTCATGGGCACCGATCCGGCTGGGTGAATGACGAGCGGACCCGGACGACGAGAGCAGCTTCTTGCTCCGTTCGTAGCAATGCCCTATAGTTACTATAGATGTTACTATAGATGTTACTAGTTGCTAGTAGTCCTTCTTCATATATGTCACTGTTCGTTCGCTCCAAGGGGCTGAAGAGTTGTCCCTCGCTGATGGCAAAGGCATGATACGACCCGCAGGCCACCCAGCTACAGCGATGGACATCGCCTCCTCTGTGCGACAGGTCGCGTTTCGAGGAGTTCGTTTTCGGCTCGAGCGTTTCGAAACCGCTGACGCAGAAAATGACGGTGACGCGGGGTTAGTTCGCGCCGTTTGGAGCGGATCTGGGACCTGGTCATACCGAAGTGAAGCATTGCTCAATGAAGACCAGGCTTTACCGGGTCTTTGGACTTGTAGGGAATTAATCGGCAGGCAAAACATGTGTTTGTGTGTATAGTGTTTGAATGACTTCTTGATGGTAGAGAAATGTATAGAGAATATCTTTGGAATCTACAATTCATAACTTGTTAGATCTAGATCTATCACGTCCTATCAATCATGCATGTTTTCCAAGTCCCTGGCAGACATGAGCGAGCAAAGGACTGTTTTCTTGAACCACGTTCATCTTCGCAAAACCAACGTTCATCTTCGCATCTTCGCATCCCTTCTTGCAAGTACTAGTCTTTGTTTACCGCAAATAAAACATAAAACAACACATACCAAACTGACCGCTTCCCGCAGACCGCCCGGCTTTTCCGGTCACGGACCAGTCGTCCGACCGCCTGGAAGAGCCAGCTTCGTGGGCTCGGGCGCAGGGCGCCCGCGTTGACGTGAAGGACCGAGACCCAAGACCCCGCCATCGCTGTGGCCCCAGGACCAAACCTTGAAGCTGCTGGAGCAACGCGACGATGTGGTGTGGTGGAGCTTGGAGAGTGGTGAAGAGGATCTTGGTGCAGATTGGGAAGAGCATCGTTTTTGTTTGCATCGTTCGTTCCAGGCTTTGAAGAGGCCATTCTAGCAGGCCACAGGTGGAGTTGCCTCGTTCAGGTGTCCTCATGTAGTTACCGTCACCGTGGTTACCCGTTACCTTTTCTCTCATCCTCGATCCGTCGCACGACTCCGTCCAACTCTTCGATGAAACTTTAGGCACCTCGAGGTGCGACACCTTCCACCTTCGCGAACCTGGCAAAACTTGGAGGTGGCAAGGCACTGCGCCACTGTTGTCCAAAGCCAGGGAGAATTGCGCCCCACAGGCGATCCGGGCAAAGCTGACCGTCGGCAGCATGGGCCTGGAGATGTGATCGAATCATCTGATGATCGTGATAAGGAAACCGAGGACCTCGGTTGGTGTTGATTTGGAATTCCCTTGCTTGGACACTGGGATTGTTGAAATTTGATTTGGTTTGCTTCTTGGTGGTTTAGCTATATTTAGCTTGGTTGCGTTGGTTGTGCGTGTTTGGTTGGATTTCAGCTGATGTTGCATGGACGTTGCATGAAACACGTGAGATTGATCACAGCACTCCACTCTTTCAGCCTCCAACCAAATCAACCCAAACCTGGCTTCATCCCGTTCGGCCCAAACGTGGCCGTCCCATCTTCATCGCATGTTCTGACGGTTCAAAAGACAGCTTTCACCTCTCCCTATAGCTACCGAAGCGCAGGGGTGGGTGGGTCCGGACCCGAAGCAAACCCGAAACGCCATTTTAGCGAACTGAACCTGCCCTAAGAATCAAGGACCCTCAGTTCGGTGAAGGTTTGGTTCGGGTCCAAACCCCTGCGTTCTGCAGGGTCAAAACCCTCCAGAAGTGGTCGGGTCCAATGATTCTTAGGGTGGAGACAACCTCCCCAGCTCCCCGCCTGGGCTTGGGCACGATTTGACAGCCGGCCATGGCCGCACGGCTCTCATCGCCACGAGGGCCACGGGGAGAGCTCATGGGGGAGACCACAAAATGGGCATCGACCTGCCGCCAAGGTGATCCCTGGATGGTCTCGCTTGTTTAGACATGTGTCCTCTTCCCCACCCTCTCTCGGTCTCTGGCTCTCTCGATTTCTCTCTGATATATAAGTCTATCTTAGGAAAACATATCGATGTTAATTGAAGTGACAACATGGGGGCTTTCCAACATCTAAACAACAAACCACAAGGGTGCATGGTGACCTCTTGGAGAGGGCGCTGGACACTAACACAGAGGGAGTTGCGTACCGCATCTTGTGCCATCATCTCAGACTTGTAAATGAGTCTCCGACCAAATCTGCCTTGAAAAGGCATGAAAGGCTCTCCCTTGACCCATGCTTTTTCGCCACATCCACCCCGACAAGGCTCAGGAACCTGGCTGAAGCCATCAAATCCCCAAGTGTACAAGTGCCCCTGGCATGGCTGTGGCGCTTGTAGCTGCAGGGATTCGACTGAACAAAGGGGCAGTTAGGATGTCTGTCAACTCCGGCAACTCCCCAAAATCTCAAAGGAATCCCTATCCCAAACACTCCATGTCTGGAATATGACCCGGGTCAACCATCCCAAAGTAGGTAAATACGGCAGTCTGGGTCTTGTCTGGGTTAAGTATGAAAGGAAATCGAACACTGAAAAGTCTTGGGGTCTTCCCAAACAAGGACAAAGCGAGGACAGCAAGTCGAGGCCCCGACCTGTTGGCAGGTTCTGACCCCTCCTGCGACCCATCCACGTTGCGTGTAAAGGTTTACAAGTTTACCTTTTGACGTTGTGGTTCCGGCTGTTGTCGGACACCAAGAAGGGTTCCTGTTTTGTCAGCCAATGGATGATGCTGACATGGATCCGCGAAAACAAAAAATGCCACACAACACCAACTGCAGAGCTCGAAAGGCTTCCAACTGGAAGCCTGGAACCGGACGGGACGGGGAGGATCTAGATCCCGCCTAAGCAGCTCTGAAGACTTGGGGTTGAATTATTTCATCAACTAAATATCATATAACCACTCATGTAACCCTAAGGGCCCCAAGTAAGTAGAGAACCCACCCACAAACCAAAATACGCCTTCCTTCAGGGAAAGTCGTGCTTCAAGAGACCATGCCATCCACTTCGTGATGTGTCTGTCAGTGTAGATAAGTTAATCAAATCTGAAGGGTAGTATGTAAATAATAGTAAAGATAATCCTGAATCACCAAGAAATAGGAATAAGGACCCTAAGTAAGCATAGAGAAA